CAGGGTACTGATCACTGACGTGAATGACAACAGCCCCCGCTTCGAGAAGAGCATCTACGAGGCAGACCTGGCAGAGAACAGCAGCCCCGGCACCCCCATCCTGCAGCTGCGAGCCACCGACCTGGACGTCGGGGTCAACGGGCAGATCGAGTACGTCTTCGGGGCAGCCACCGAGGCTGTCAGGGGCCTGGCGCCGGCGCGTCTTGCACCGCATCGACCGGGAGGAGGTGAACCAGCTTCGCTTCACTGTCATGGCCCGAGATCGGGGTCAGCCCCCCAAGACGGACAAGGCCACGGTCGTGCTGAACATCCGTGACGAGAACGACAACGTGCCCACCATCGACATCCGGAAGATCGGGCGCATCCCGCTCCGCGACGGGGTGGCCAGTGTGGCCGAGGACGTGCTGGTGGATACCCCCATTGCCCTGGTGCAGGTCTCGGACAGGGACCAAGGCGAAAATGGTGTGGTGACCTGCACTGTGGTGGGCGATGTGCCCTTCCAGCTCAAGCCAGCCAGCGAGGGTGAAGGGGAGCCGCAGAACAAGCGCAAGTATTTCCTCCACACCTCCGCCCCTCTGGACTATGAAGCTGTCCGTGACTACAACGTGGTGATTGTGGCTGTCGACTCAGGCAGCCCTAGCTTGTCCAGCAATAACTCCTTGCTGGTGCGGGTCGGGGACACTAATGACAACCCCCCTGTGTTCAGCCAGGCCGTGCTGGAGGTCTCTTTCCCAGAGAACAACTTGCCCGGTGAGAGGGTGGCCACGGTGGTTGCCACAGATGCGGACAGTGGTAAGAACGCCGAGATAACCTACTCCCTGGAGGCCTCACCCATCTCCTCGGAGTCACCAGGAGGCATCTTCAGCATTGACCCTGACTCTGGGGATGTGTCGGTGCAGGCGGTGTTGGACCGCGAGCAACGCGACACCTATGAGTTCCAGGTGACAGCCCGGGACAAGGGAGTGCCATCGCTGCAAGGCTCAACCACGGTGGTGGTGCGGGTGGCGGATCGCAATGACAACGAGCCACGCTTCATGCAGGATGTGTTCACTTTCTACGTGAAGGAGAACTTGCAGCCCAACAGCCCCGTGGGCATGGTGACTGTGATGGACTTTGATAAGGGCCGCAATGCTGAGCTCAGCCTCTCCATCCAGCCCAGTGACCACGATCAGGCAACTGGCATCTTCTCCATCGAGAATGACACTGGAACCATTTTCTCCACTGTCTCTTTTGACCGGGAGCAGCAGACCAGCTACACTTTCAAGGTGAAGGCAGTGGATGGAGGCGAGCCACCACGCTCTGCCACTGCCACCGTGTCCCTCTTTGTGATGGATGAAAATGACAATGCACCCACAGTCACCTTTCCCAGCAACAGCTCCTACACCGTGCTTCCACCCTCCAGTAACATGCGCACCGTGGTGGCCACAGTGGTTGCCACTGATGCCGACACTGGTCTCAATGCTGACCTCAATTACAGCATTGTTGGAGGCAACCCCTTCAAACTTTTTGAGATCGACCCAGCCAGTGGTGTGGTGTCACTGGTGGGCAAGCTGGCCCCCAAGCACTATGGCCTGCACCGCCTCGTGGTGCAAGTGAATGACAGCGGGCAGCCACCTCAGTCCACCACTGCCCTGCTCCACGTCTTTGTCAACGAGAGCTTATCCAATGCTACTGTGGTGGAAAGCCAGGTGGCCCGCAGCCTCCATACGCCCCTGGCCCAGGACATTGCTGGTGACCCCAGCTATGAGCTGAGCAAGCAGAGGCTTAGCATAGTCATTGGTGTGGTGGCCGGCATCATGACTGTCATCCTCCTCATCCTGGTGGTGGTCATGGCTCGCTACTGCCGCTCCAAGGGCAAACATGGCTACGAGGCCGGCAAGAAAGACCACGAGGATTTCTTCACCCCACAGCAGCACGACAAGGCCAAGAAGCCTAAAAAGGACAAGAAAGGCAAGAAGGGCAAGCAGCCCCTCTACAGCAGCATTGTCACTGTAGAGGCTTCCAAGCCCAACGGGCAGCGCTATGACAGTGTCAACGAGAAGCTCTCAGACAGCCCCGGTATGGGACGGTACCGCTCGGTCAATGGCGGCCCGGGCAGCCCTGACCTGGCCAGGCACTACAAGTCGAGCTCGCCACTCCCCACTGTCCAGCTGCACCCGCAGTCCCCCACCGCCGGCAAAAAGCACCAGGCCGTGCAGGACCTGCCTTTGGCGCCGGTGACAACATCTCCATCGGGTCAGACCACTGCTCCGAGTACAGCTGTCAGGCCAGCAGCAAGTACAGCAAGCAGGTAAGAGCGTTGCACCCGCGCCGCGGCCGCGCACCCCCGCGGAGCCCCCGACACGCACACAAGCACACGCACACGGGGAGGGAGGGCGCGGGGAGCCCACCTCCACCGATACTGAAACGACCGAAG